TCAGTAAAGATTCTTATAATTTTTATTCTTGTAATTTAAATTTTGTATGATTCGTATGATCGTACGTTACATTAATATTCTTGCAATAAAAGTAATTAATCCATCTTAATGTTTATAATAATATTTTAAAAATGTAAAAAAAAAATTTATTTTTAGAAAGTTTTTCAAAAATCTTTTACATCTTTTGCAAAAGTTGAATTAATAAATCTTGCTTTTGTATTTTAACATTTTTGTTTCGTTATAGCTCGAACCGACATGGAACATGGAGCAGCAATTCGTAGTGCAGCAATATCAATCTGCATTAATAGCGGACAGTGTTGAATCTTCTCTTCCGATGACTCGGGTGGTTTCCAATAAATCGCAAATTGCAGGAGTAGCAGATACTATTACCTATAACAAAGGAGGCAGTATTATCCGTATGATGAGCCTCATATTCGGAACCGAAATTTTTGATAACGCATTACGTAGCTACATACAAGACAAGTAAATATTACAATAATTAATTGTATTTTAATAAAACATAATTAATTAAATTACTAAAAAAATCAATTTTTAGATCTTCGAAAACAACATAACTTATAAAATCAAATAACTTTTAAAAACAACTAGAGTAGACAATACAAAATTAGAAAAGAGATTAGATTAATTTTTGTTAATATCAAATTTTATTGTATTATTTTAATTAAATATATGAATCTGTAATCTATTATTATTAAATTAATCGTAACATATACACATATATATTATTCGATTACTCGAGAAATTGATTTATTACTAGACACTAGTCGACATATTAAGTACATAAATTAAAGACTTCTTAAATCGCTATATTTACGTAAAATTCATGTCTCTTTCTCTCGATGCGATCAAGAGATGATACTATTACAAAATATATTTTCTAGCATGGAGCAAGGATTGGGCCAGCCGGATGCTTTATGGGAAGCAGTAAAGGCTCAAGTAAATAACACAAGAGTACATCCAAGCTTAAACATTGACGTAAAAACAGTAATGGATTCTTGGACTACACAAGCCGGATATCCCGTTTTAACAGTCGACGTTAATGACAATGGTATACTGAAAATTACTCAAAAACGCTTTCTTCTGAGAAATATAGATAACATTGCTACGGATACCGTTTGGTATGTCCCGCTCACGTTTACCACAAAAAGCAAACTAGATTTCACTAATCTGATTCCAAAATATTGGATGTCTACCGAACAAAGCACCGCTTTTTACAAAATTGACCCGAATAAATGGATTATATTTAATCTTCAATCATCAGGTTGGTACCGAAAAATGTTTTTAACAAAAATAACTTACAGAATTACTTGTGAATAATATAATATCTAATACGCATTATTTATTAGACAATTATAATCGTATGTTAATTTTTAAATCGTTATTAATTGATAGGATAAAATACATTAAAGGAAAATAATATTTTTTCTAATATCGTATATGTAATATATACATAAAATATTAAACAAAAACTTTTACAATTAATATCATAAATTTTTTAAGATAAATATTTATGTAAATATTTTATTATAAAAACTAATTTTAATATTTTTATTACAGGCTTTTATCGTGTAAATTACAACAATCGCGGATGGGAA